ACACACACACACACACACACACACACACACACACACACACACACGCACACACGCACTAACCTGAGAGCCATGTGATGCAATCAAGCAGGACGATGAAAGTGTGTGCGCATGCACGTTTATTTGGAGTGGCATCAACAGTGTCATTCCCAGCTGTACGCAGAGTACATTTTATCTCCCGTCCTGCCATTCTGCTCTCATCAATGATGCACACCGCAATTATTGACAGTGCGATGACAGCAGATCTCGCCGAGAATGCCGCATTGCGATGTTGATGCTTGAGGGAGCCTGATAATAAACACACCTATGGGAGTTGTAAATCGATAAGAATGTTGTTTGGTTCCAGGTGAATATGTTTTATCAGTTTGATTGCAGTGTGCATGCGCACGCGCGCGTGCGTAACAGACAGCCGGTCAGAGAAGTCAAAGCTCCGTTTTGCCTCCAAATGACTTTCCATCTTTTTTCGACTCATGAATCTCATATTTAGGTTTCTCTGTGTGTCTGTCGCTCGCTGTCACCGTATAACAATGAAGCACACCGGAGGATCATTTCAAAACTAATCGCAAATACGGCTTGATGCAATATTGTTGCAGATTAACTGCTAATATGCTCCCGCATCCGCCTCTTGTTTCTGACTTGAGGCGGGTATTATCGTTGTGATCAAGCGGAGACCTGGCTAACGCGATCATTTTCGAAACCATCGTGCAGAAATAATCCCCCCCACCTCCCCTTTCACGTGCGATTATTTGAATAAATCTTTTTAACCAGCCATTCAGTCACACGGCAATGGCACGCAACCCCTCAAGCCATCATTTGTGACCAACGCTGCAGAATGAGCCCGACAAGAGTTCCATTCAGGACCTCGTATCACAGTTCCATCCGACATGTCTTCGATATAATTGCTGCTGCTTTTGGATTAAAAAAAAAAATAAGTTAAACTCTTGCTTTTTTTTTTTTGCCATTGAACAAAACAACCCAACGTCAACTTTCATCCGCAAGCTTCAATGTTGCGTGGAACTCAGGCCCTCCATCACAGTTCTCACATCCCCCTGAATCAGAGCACCGATGCTTCTCCTTCATCCTGCGGAAGACACACAAGCAGTCGCAGACGCACACATTCATGCAGTTTATGGTTCAGACATTTCAAGGGGCCAATTTGACAAGACACACCCGCAGACTCACAAGACTTGTGAGCCCACATTTGCATGTGCTCCACAGTGCTCTCAGTTGTTCGCTCTCTATTTATCTCTCCGTACCACACGCGCACTCACTCGCAGAGCAAATTTAAGCAGCAGAACTCGTGATTATCCGGAAATTTGTGAGACAGCGGAAGAAGCACAAGGTGGGCCTGATTCATCTTTTTGAAATAGTACCTTTTTTTTTTTTTAATTCAAATTTACAAAAAGAAAAAGTACAACGGAAAGAAGCACGTACATGTACAGCACGCAACTGTAAAACGGTATAAACATCACGTGGGAGCCATGACGCCAGGCGGGGGTGCAAAACCAATTGGATCTTTAAGGTGAAGTTGGATGAAAAAGCCTTTGATGGCATCCATTCAAATATTCACAGAGCAACTTTCAAATAGAGATGCAGGGATCCTGATTTTAGATTTCCTGTTCTAAACAAATCTAATCCGCTACTCTGTAGAGCAGTAAGAGCTGTGGGGAGCTGCAGCGCGTGCGTACTTTTATCCAAATCGATGCAACTTAGTCGGTTAATCACATCACACCTTTGATGGAATCAATTCATCTCGCTCACGAGGTTGAATAATCACTTCTGTCAAGTGGTTTTGTTTGTTGCCGTGCTGCATAACTCCAGAGACGCATCGCTTTGATTTGAACCAATCAAACACTTCCGGGCTTTGAATTAGACCAATAAGCGATACGAAAGACCTGGAGCCAATTTTGCATGTGCGACTCGTGTGTAAAACAACAAGTCCTTTCACGGTGCACTTCAGTTGAGCCGATTCCCTTGTGATTTGGTGCCCCTCCGTTCCTGTATTTGTGTGTGTCCGTTTCAAATCGAGACCAACACGTGTTGGAAAAAAAAAGTATTGATTTGGAGATAAATGTTTTGAACCTGTAAAAGGATTTATGGGATTTTGAAGTGCAGAAACTCCAAAATATAGTCCAACATAAATATCCAATGACGTTGTGCACCCCCGCTGCTTTCCAACTGTATTTGTATCTTGGTTCACTTCATCCAGTTCGTCCATCGTTTGATTCTGTGGCTCAGAAAAACAGGTCTACAGTATATGAGGTTGAATTCATCATGTCGTCGGACCAGCGCGAGAGCGGTGTTGGTCCAACACAGTGGACTCCAGTAAAAAAGGCAGTTGGTCAAGGATGCTTTACAACAAGGCAAGGAGGAATGTTTTTTTTTCGTTTGTTTGTTTTTTAATGGCACAACAAAGCTTCCTTTTGCTAAACATCTGTGGACTAATACATTTCCAACCTGATAGGAAAACTGTCCAAAAAAAATATTTTTTGAACCTTTACACCGAGGAAAATCATAAATGTGTATAAATAGGTATAGGATCATCTTTCAATCTGTCGGCCTCGAAGTCTACTGTGATTTTTGTTGCCATTACGGATGATTGTCGAAATCGTCAACTTTGCCAATTCGCAGTCTCGGCTCAGCTTGTGGGAGACCCCCTTTCGAAAGTGAGAGACAATGTCAGCCTTCACAGACGGCGAGATTTGCTTCCGTTTACCTGACGTGTTTTCAGAGCGTGTGCGCTGCCGGATGGACGACGACGTAACTAGTCGATCAGTCGCGTTGCTAAGCAACGGAGGGGAATCTCGCGCTGTACATTTGTTCCTAAGCAAGGTCGCGGCGGTCGTTAGCTTCCCACGTTTTGTCGTCGCGAAAGCCTTTTCACTATTTTGTGATTATTGAAGTTTAGGTTGTCAAGGTGTTTGTTGTCGGCAAAATCGGCAAATGGAAAAGGAATGACGGGAAATCGGGACTTTGAAATGTGAACGTTACAGCGGTGAAAACGTGGGTACCTTGAAAAGAGGTTCGGCTGTATGAACAATTTCCATACCTCTCAGGCAATGCAACGCTGACGACTATGCCCTTGAAACCAATTCTTAATTCCATATCGGGGTGTTAGTCGACAGTTTGGGGAAAACTATTTCAACTGGATTTTTATTTTAGCATTTTAATAGACTTTCTATCCACTTGACTGCCTTTTCATCAAAGAAGGTTTCTCGGTGGGACCAGACCGTGCTGAAGCATCCATTGACTAATATTTTGCACAATAAACTTTACTCCGAGGCCACGAGTCCCAGCGAGCGGCTGGAAGTTGTCACGAAACACAATCCGGCGTCTGCTCACTCCACGCGGCCGTCAAATCCAATTTCGTTTTTTTTTTGTTGTTGATGTTTCTAATCTACAGTACCACTCCACGCGGCCGTCAAATCCAATTTCGTTTTGTTTTTTTTTTTGTTGTTGATGTTTCTAATCTACAGTACATACAGACCGTCCTAAACAGTGATCCATTTGGACATGTACAGTAAGTTCTGCTTCTGCTTAAGATAAACAAAATTCATTAATTATTCTCTCGCTCTCTCTGCAATAGTATCCAGCGCTATTTTACATTTAATTTGTTTTGACACACCGTCAAACGCTTGTAGCATTTCCTTAATCCACATCTTATAAAGACAACTACAATCTTGAACATAAATCACCATCTATGACACAGTATGAAAGTGCAGTTCAGGCTTGAAAAATCATTTGCATCCCGACCTTTTACAAGAAAAGCAAAAGAGTCGTCACGGTGTTGTTGAAAGGACGAGGAGGATATTCATTTGGGCGGTCTGAATTCTCAAGTGGGATCTGGACGAAGCGTTTTTGTCTTCAACCCTTTTCCCAAAAGTCATGCAGTCAGTGTCCTCAAGACGCATCAGGTGACACAACAGGGCTGTTTGTTTCCACATAAAAAATAGTTCTTCTAGAAAACATTTACGAGATCAGTCACCGACTCGTCGTTGCTCCATACAGTCGATGCGTTTGCTTTTAGAAATGACTGCGGTACAATCAAAGCCGAAGAGTGTCAATGAGTTCCATGTGTGCCTACGTGCGCGTCTTTGTAAACATAGCAACACCGAACCACTAAAAGATGGGCAACGAGAGGGAGCGTGGGGCTGGGGTGGGGCTCGCATCATGAAATCATTCAAATCTTCACAATGTCTGTTTTCCTTGAGGACTGAAAGGAGTCTTTTTCTCTATTTGAGTCGTCGTTTCCATTTAGAATGAAGCGGCAAGCTGAAAAATTTATCATTCTGCCATTGGAAATTGAATAAAAAGTTTTTTTCCATATTTTTTTTTCATTGTTATTTTTTGACGGTGGTGGTCTCATTCCTCAACCGCCTCTGTCTATATATTATCACTTTATATTTAAATATATATTCAATCCTATTTTCATGTCTTTGCTGTTCAGGATATCATATCTCATCGTAGCCCAGGAATAAATCCCAGAGAAAAATAAAATATAGAACAGATACATTGCACTGAATGAGGTATGCGCAGCCTTTATAAAACATTTGGGCAGTTTGCTTGCAATGTACAGTTCGCACCTCATAGGGACACGGACTAAGTCGTCTGACATTTGAACCACCCGTCGCAAAAGGCTCGTGGGGAGGAATGTTAAGTTTTAACCAGTGTCTTATTTTGAGGGCTAAAACTGCATTCATTTTTTTTCATATTTTACACAACACTGAAATGATTGGAAACTGTATTTACTGATGCATGGATGTGTGAGAGTACACGGCTAATAGTCAACAGCCAGGTCTGCAAACCAACCAAAAATCTTCAAGAAAAGCAGTTCATATTCTATTCACGGCAATGTATCTGCAAAATAGCATACAGTGATACCTGAACTTACGAGTCTTACGAGAAGTCAGTGAATCCTGGTCTCGGAAAAACCTGTTACAAGTTTTGGTGGCTGTTTTTGGGCTGCCGGAACAGATTATTGGCATTTCCGTTCCTTTTGATGGGGAACGCTGATTTGACATAGGAGTGATTTGAGCGAAGAGGTCCGGGAACAAACTGAACTCTAAAGTCAAGGTATCACTGTATATTTTTCTTTTCTTTAGTGATCTTGCAGTTATTTTCGAGAATGAACATTTCGCTCTGCATTGATCCCTTTGTCTTTGTTTAACATACACACACATACGTCCGCTCAGAAAAGACAATCGCAAGCTTCTTCCTACTTTCTCCCCGACCTTCTAAACACAGAGTTAAAAGGACAACCTGTTTTCGCCGCGGTTTGCCACTGCGCGGATTCAATCGTGCACTGTTTATTTGGGTTGTTTTTTTTCCTTTGTCCAAAGTTTGAACAAATAGCTGTCGCCGCCAGCAGAAGCATCCTGTGCATTGTCTCGGTATCTGTGCTTGACCATATCAGTGCTTCAACACTTATTGCTTTAAATTACATCAATCACTGCCTCCCCTTCCCTTCGCGTTCTTCACCCTCCCTGGGCTCGTTTCTCTCTGTCTCTTTTTATTACTTTGCCTCTTCATCTTTCTCCCCTTTAACTTCTCGTCACATTAGTCTGGTTCTGGTAGTCTTTTCATCATTCTCTCCCCTCCCTTCCTCTTTCGCCCCTTTACCCCTATTTTTCTTCTTTTATCCTTCCTCAGTCTTTCCCTTCACATCGACCCCTCTCTCCTTCCTTTGCCCCCCTCTTTTATCGGGCTTCTCTTTCTCCTCTTTGGCACCATCTTCAACTTGTTCCTTTTCTTCTTTCTCTTTCTCTCGGTCTCGGAAGAGCTGAGCTAACTTGTGGAAGCGGGGCCCCCACTCTTCCAATCCGGCACCCCAGTCCTCCTTGTCTGCATCCTTCTCTCCTTCACTCTCAAGTGAGCTCAGCGATCCGGCGCGGGACCCGGTACCCTCCAGACCGTAGATCTGCACCGAGTCATACGGTGGTTGCGAGGGGTCAAATGTGACCTGGGCAAGACGTAGACGTAGGAATTCGCCCACCCTCAGAGCCAGAGGGGGAGCCCCGGTCCCCGGTGCTGCTCTGGCCGCTTCAATACCAGGAACCCAACCGGGGCCAACGCCCAGCACTCCCCCGTAAGCTCCCCGAGGCTGACCGGGGAAGGGCAATAGCTGGGGGGTCATATCCATTCTCGCCAACACATAGCCACCCAAAGCCACCCGGTCACGCCAGTCTCCAATCAAGCCGGGTGACTCCGGGTAGACAGTTGGACTACCAGTCAGTGGTATGCCGCCACCTTCTCTTTCTGGCCTCGCCACCACAAAGTTGCTCCCCAGCTCGAGTCCTCCCCTCTCCAGACTGCCGTGGGGCTCCTTCTGCCTGCGTACCTCCCCCTGCAAAACGGTGGCGTAGTTGCGAACATTGCTAGCTTTTTGTTGTCCATCAGTAGAGGTTGCCCCACTTCCGCTTCCGCCTCCTCCGCTGCGTTCAGACTCGGCACCTTTTGGAGAGAGACCAGCACGGGAGGCCTTCCGCCCCGCCATCGGGAGGGTGGCAGAATCGCACACCCAGCCTCCTACGCCGTGACCTTGGCCAATCATGGAGCCGGATCGTGTCAGGACAAGGTTATGCTCCCTTGGCAGTGTCTCCGACTGCACCTGGATGGGATGTAGGTGAGCACGAGTGGTTTCAGTCCAGGGTTTGGGTAGGGTGAAGTACTGTGAGGAAGGAGGATGATTTGGTCCAAATAGGGTGGAGGATGGTCAATATGGGAGAACAAGAGCGATGGCAATAACAAGTGAGACAAAAGGAAAGTCGGATGCCAAACAGAAAAGGAAGTCAAGAGTGGGAAGAAGCCATGGACAGATTCATTGCATACTAGAAAGAACTCACACTGCACCACGAGAGCGAGATGGAGTGATTCAGAGATAAAGTGTTTGACAATTAAATGAAGCTGAGGACTAGCGCATCTGCTTTGGCCGAATAAATAAAACACAACACGAGATAATAAATGGCAGGAAATAAATGTGCTGACGTGTCTGACTCATCACCACCCCTCAGCTTTGTCTTGAACCTCGTGGACATATTGCAAAAGATGAAACATATTACAAGGCTGGGACCAACGAAATAACAATGAGCTCAACCCCAACCTAATAATTATTTCATATTTCCCTAATTACTTCATTATCACGTCGTTTGTGTATTTGATTCACACCTAAAATAGTAACGCAAGTCATTGTAGACCATTATTAAATTGAAATTCAATACTCCATGCGGTTGCTATCAAATTGTCTCCATCGAGCAACATATGAGGCATGGAAGACGATACGTAGAGCTCGACAAATTCAGAGTGCGCTTAAGCTTAATAAAAGGACGGCTGCAATGCTTACCCAGTCCATATCATGACCGTGGTTGAGTTTTTCTTCGCTGCTCTCCTCAGTACAGTTGCTGGAGGTTCCCATCCCTCTTCGTTTCTCCTGGCTGTCACTAGTCCGTGGCGTTCCTTCATCCGATGTGCTCACGCCACTCTGGGTCGCAGCCCCGTCGCGGCTGCCCGCATGGCTTCCCGTTCGGCTCCCCGCACTGAGATCTGTGGGGGTTATGTACACGGCCCCCGACTCCATGGGTCCAACCATGGCCCCCTGGTTTTGGATGACCAACGAGTGGTCTGGTTGGCCTCCGGGAAAGCGGTATCCAAGCTCTGCCAGACCTGGTTCCAATGTTTCACCCGGTGTGCGGCGTAGCACGGGTAGTGTGTGGCTGCTGTAACAGAGGCGACCATAAAAGGGTCCTCCCGGGCCTGAGTAGTTGTGATCAACAACTGGATTCTGAGCCCAGCTGCAGGTGCGGGTTTTCTCTTGTCCGCGTTGGGTGTAGCGTCTGGAAGACACAAAACCACATTCAGATGTGACCTTTTTTTGGGGTGTGTGTGTGTGGGGGTGGGGGGGACTTAGAATCAAATCCAGTTTAAATGGAGTGCCCCGGACTAAATAATTGTTTCATCATATTTGGAAGCGGATTACTTGAATAGAGTTTAACCAAATAAATTGCAATATATATTTGGGGGGGATGTTATACAGATATGCTTGGAGCTAGATTGAGAGGTTTCTGAAATGACATTGCGAAACAAAAATTAGATACAAACAAACCCCCAAAAGCGATTTCAACTCCGTATAATTTCATGGGTAGCTTGTAGCTCATTTGAGAATAGTCACCCACTGCTGATTATTGGAGATATACAGGAGCCTATCATCTCACATGCTATTATTCTAACATAAAATATCATCAATATCATCTGTGCTGACATTGGAACGTGGCATCCATTAAACAAAACTGTACCTAGCTGACTGCACTTTGTGTGATCGGTTCAGGATGTCCAAAAGACAGATTGAACCTGACTGCAAACTTTTGAAGGACTCCGAATCTGCATCGCAAAGTTATTGGCACTCCAGAGACACCAGCAGCTTCAAATCACTGCTTGGTGCTTATCGGTGGCTTTTGAACAGCTGCTGTCTTAAAAGGATGCATTTGCCTGACAGAAACCTTTGGAATATGCCTTGATTGGAGCAAACCCGCTCGCTCTCTGAGTCACACTAATTGTTTAACGGTAGGCCTGCAATTGTTTTCTTCAAATGTCCACATTGTTTTTATTCCTCCTCAAGTCATTTCCATTTAATTAGGCTTGGCTCAAAAACAAAATACCAAACCTGTCTTGAGTTTTATATTCATGCAAAAACATTCCAGGGAAAACAAAAACTCGAATGTTTATTTAACTTCAATCCGACATGCGTGATAATTTGTAACAATGTTGACAGATATAGATAATAATTGCTGTTTTTTTTTCGTTGTAGCGCAGAAATACATTTGTATGCACACACACACAGAAATACGACAGCATAGGGGTCGAACCGACGAGCTGACACATCGACTTTACCTCTCCACAATGATGATAAGAGCTTGATAACTCGCTCATCACTTGTTTTGGCTTTTCACAACATGGATGCCATGCCGAAAGTAACAGGTCAACTCAAATCGAACAGCACAAGTGCTACGTGGCCATCTTTGAAAAAAAGCACCCGCTAACCCAGAGCGCTAGCTGACAAGTCCTCAAGCCACAACATCAAACAACGTCAAAGTGGCTCAATTAGCGAATCCGGCAAACTCCCCCCTTGTCATAGACAGAAGCCTGTCTGTCAAAACCTTTTCATTGTGAAAATAAAGAGTTAACAGCCCTGGACCTACGAGGACATAATGGCGCCCCAATCAATATCCTCACACACACTTCATCCCTCATCCGCAAACACAAGACACGCCTCACTCCCCGATTCACTCATCCAATCACAAATCACACTCAGACAGAATTTCAAGAACTATCCATTTAACACAAATGCGCTTTCGTGCCATACATTAAAAAGCATTCGCTAACCCTGTTTTTTTTTCTTTAATTACAGCACTGAAACACATGAGGTTTCAGTTGTGTTATGTGAATCGGTATTGGACCCCGACAATTTTCCGATTGTCTACGAGGCCGTGAATGGCCACTACTAGAGCACATGGTGGAACTCAGACAAACTAATTGGGAAAAAAAAAATGTTTTACAACTTTCCAAGAGCATCATCCATTGCGGGGAATTGCATGATTCGTGAGAGGGCATCTCATGTTCTTCTGTCTACCTCCCTCAATTGCAAAAGAATAAATAATGAGTTTGATTAACTAAAGGCAGGCTTCCTTCGTTTTTCTGGCCTCTTCACAGGACTTGCATGAATTTACTGGAGCTAATTATTAGACCAAAGGCAATAAAATGTTTCAAGCAACATCAAAGTGGCTCAAACAAGTCATGGATGTAGCACAGCATAAACAAGCGTTAACAAAACGAAAACAACATTGCGGCTCGTTAGGATGCTCGGCTTGAGAGCACTCCGCAACGGCGGTTTGACGGTGCCCGATCATGACCTCGGAGTTACGGCTTGAACGCTTCCAAAAGTGGATCACTTATTGTGCAGGCTGGGATTAAAGCTTCCACTCTGAAGCAGTAAATTGTCCCTTTTCAGGCGTCCTTTTAGTGTGTGAAAAGCGCCTAGGTATGAGGGCTGTTGCAATTAAATGTGTCACCGCACGCTTGTGTGCGAATGTTTGGTGACGCATGGGGAGAAATACTGCTTGGCGTCAACGGGTATGGGTGCGGAGGTGCTTTGCGGACAAACTTATTTCCTGAGCACAAACCGGTCGTCATTGGGAGTAGGGGTAGATCCTTTTCTCAATCCGAGTTCCCCAACTGACTCAGAGGCCCGCGGTCGCCACATCTGCATGCCAATGAATACATTATTGTACCTTTTTGTGTACATTGGCTTATATCACCGGGGGCATAAACTTTGCCAGGACTTGCCGATTAGGGCAAAATAGACAAAAGTGGCCTCCAGGGGCCGCCACAAAATTGGGAAAGAACTCACCTTCAATAGTGTGTCATTATTTTAAACTTAGTTATGACAATTTACTCTTAAAATTGAAACACTAACATGCTGTTGATTGAAATATAACACGATGCTCATTTTACCACAATTAAGACCAAAAAAAATCCCTCGATGTAAAAAAGGCTGGCCAAGACCAAGAAAATTCATGTGAAAGACGCTCAGAAATTACCGCAAGTTCAAAAACAATAAAAAATGCCATACACAACAGATTCACCACACTGGTTTGCATCAATGTCCACTGTCCGGGGACCTAATTTCTGAATGTAAATCATTCGAAGAACCCCAAGTGAGTCACGACAACATGAACAAGAGCAACTTACACGTTCCTGCTGTCCAGCGTGCGATAGCCGCGTGAGCGGGAGCTGTGGGGGGCGCTCTGAAGCGCAGCGATATCAAAGGCGGCCGTGTCGGCCTCGCCGCCGCCCTCGTCGTCATACGTGATGATGTTCTCGCGGACGTCATCGTCCTCCAGCGGTGACAGCGAGTCGCGCTTCTGACGCCTCAGTGACAATGACAGGGCGCTCACTGCTATGGAGCGACGGCAGCAGGTGCAAAGGAAATTGAGGGATGAAAGCGAACAAAGAATGATGAAAAGGGGTCAGGGGAGGGCACAGGGGAAATAAAAAGAAGACCGAGAGGGTAAAGGGAGGGTGGGAGATGGAGAAACATTAAGGTTAGACAAAGAGGTGAGACAAAACAAATTCAGAGGAGGCCTCGGGTTAGAGGGCAGGTGCATCATATCAGCGGGCTGCAAGCCACCGCTCTGTAATTGACTTTGAGCTCCAGCCAGGCAAACAGAAGCTTTGCTGGATTGTCCCATGTCGCCGTCGTTCCAAAACACAGCCTAACATTTGGCTGCGGGGGAAAAAAAACAAAAAACCTACAGCTCCTTGGATGCACAGATATTTTAATAGCTTTTTATGACTGTTAGTCCAGTATATATTGCTGGAGAGCTACTGTGAGTATGAGAGGCACCGACCACTAAGTTAGCCGACATAGCAGTCAAAGTATTTGGTGTGGATATGAATCGTGCCAACAACAAACATTTGTGATCCGTCACCCATCGACGTTGGTGTCACATGCACGTTTGTGATCGAGAGTCACAAAACAGAGACGATCGTAATTGCGCTTTCTAAAGAAACCTCGGCATTTTGTCGCTGCGCATAATTGGAGGGGTCCAATCTTTTTTTTTTTTTGTCATTGCACAGTATGCGATGAAACTGTGGGTTTAGTTGAATGTGAAAATGTTTTTTCCTATACTCGACTTGTTTATACTCTTTTAGTCCGCCAAAAAGCCTCACCGCATCACCTTCACGCAAACGTGCCTCCCTTTGTGATTGAACAGCTCTCATCCAGAATGATAATGTCCCTCTCAGCAAGGCACGAGCGGGGATTCAACGGAGTGAATGGAAATGACAACGACGCTGGCCACCACCCAACACTTCCTCACCACCCGGACGTGATTCAATTGAGCGTTTGTGAATTCCTGCTCAGGTGGAAGTGACATTTCATTGTGTGGCTACCCACGACGCCAGCCAAGAAACTCAAGCATAATAGTGATTTTAGGGGCGATTAGCAACAAATAAATAAAGGAATAAATAAATCACCCTTCCTTTCAAGCGGCTGTGACTATGAAATATTTACGCAACTGCTTTCATACTCTCAGTTGAAGATTAAGCACGCCGGCATGTGGTGAAGGATAAATGTAGCTAAAGTCTGTTTACTTGTCTTTTCATATGTAGATTTGTGTAAAACAGTTTTGCGGTCATTCTACTGCAATTGTATCACTAACGTATAATTTATATGCTGTGGTGTTGTTGTTAGAATGAAATAAGCAAAAACAAAATGCACATTGTTGTTTTAAATGACAGTCCCATTAGCTCGTGACTGACTTCTGCTATATTCACAGAACTTACCCAGGAGCGTCGCAACACATGCCAATATGGCCAGCAGAGCAGCGGTGCTGAGGCCAGGCGAGGGCAACGTGGAGTGCTGGGGGAGACAAACGGCTTCTCTTTCGCGCTCCCATTCGCCCTCGGCCTGTTTGCCCGTCTCTCTCTCCCCGGTCTTTGCCCCTCCTCTCAGGCAGGGGCAGACGGACACCGTGACGGTGCCGGTGCTGGTGAGACCCGATGTCCCGTCTCTTAGAACCAGTGGCACATAAAACGTTAAGCTGGAAGACGGAGAACGGGACAGCGGCTGCAGCTGGGACAGCAAGACCAAGCTTGCCGTGGGACCTGCCGAGAGATCATGCAGGTGACAATCTTTCAAATGTTGTCCGAATAACATCATTTTCTCCCCCCGATTCATTTCTTCTGAACATTCTTCCGGTTTCGTTATAATGAAGATCTATTGCGGTGCCTGCTTCGCAATCCAATCGAAAATCTAACACAGTAACGGATCTGTGGGAGCTCCACGGACAAGAGCGGTGACAGCAATGTTATTGTGTGTCAGGGAAGGAAATATCGTCGTCGTTTCCCCTGACAGTCTTTTGCTCATTTTTCTCACTTTTCTATGTGTAGTTGCAGCACAAGCTGATCCAAAAATCAACATGTGTAGTTTGAGTTTGCATAAGCTGCACTGTCTTGGTCTTTTTTCTGCGAGAAACTCAAAGTTGGAAAAAAAAAAAAATCCAACAACATAATTTGGCAACGAGGGAAAGGCGCAAGGTGCTTCATGTGATAATTTTGATCCATGATCTTAGCCATGCTAGTCACAGCCCCTATGGGGGCTATTCTGGACAGCATCTGGGAATTGCTGCCGTCTATGTGCTCAAACATTACACAGCTCTATCATCCTCCTGCGGCGCTCTCCTTTGGATTTATGTTGTTTCTGCTCAGCAACAGCAACTCTCAGGCTTCAAATTCCACAGACACGTGACAGAGTGACAGCAATTTTTTTGTAGTGTACGATACACTGCTTTTTATTTCACATCATATTTCTGGTACAGCAAAGGAAGTACTCACTCCTGGTATGCACTGCCCAAACCATTACAACAAAGTCAGCAATCTGGAGTTTCAGTCATGGAATTTGATCATCATTATTGAGCGTTTGCACCATCAGAAGCACCATTTGAGAAGTGGTGGGGCTCTATACAGCCTGATGCATTTTGTGACATTCCATGAAAAATGCTAAGCGTCACGATGGTCAAAACAACCCCAAATCGAAAACCAAGTGCTGACTGGAATACAGCAAATAACGCGTCAACCGTAATAATAGCGCAGTGTGAGACAAAGATGGAGAATAAATGAAAGAGTGTCAACAGGGAGAGATCAGAACAGAATGTATGGTGCCCTCCGTAATCATTGGCACCCCTGGTTAAGATGTGTCAAAAGCCTTAATAAAACTGGATTTGTGAGAGGCGAAAGAACATCTAGTAACCGGAGGTGATGAATGGCACTGCTTGGATTTTTCTTAACTTGCAGTAGCACTTAAGTGAGCTTAACTTCTGCATTATGTTCGACAGCATGCGTAGACGTCAGGGAAGAGTATAACAAGAAAATCAATGGGCCTCCAGAAACAAAGGACGGATCCTGAGGACGAGAGTAGGAAGAATAGTCACATGTGGGGGGTGTTGGAGAAACGAATTCAACCATAAAAGAAAAGGGACTGTAGGTGTGAAAGAGAGGAGGCAAGAAAGGAAGACGACATCAGGCGGAGAGAAAAATGTGTGATTATGAGCTTTGAAATGTAGAAAACAACATGTTCGGATTAAGCCAAACCGGAGTCGGGGGGGATGATTGAATGCTTACCACCACTGTCCCTGACACTGAAGTTGAGGGCAGCCCTGGACTCCGGAGGGATGCTGAAATACACCGTGCTGTCATTCCCTCCTTCATCTCTATCAATCGCCCGCAACACCTGCACCACCTGAAAGCCAGAGATAGAGGGGAGAGCATCAATGCATGTGCGTGTGAGTGCACGCGAATGAAGGGGGATGGAAAAGTTGCAAGATGAGAACGAAAGTAATGAGAGAAACGCACACGCACGCGGTGCTTTTAGCGAGCAATAAGCCATTAGCCGGCGTCAGCACAAATCAAAACAAGCCAAGCAATTAGCATAGCGCCGCGTGTTAACCAAGTGTAATACACACCAAATAAATAACTGGCTGACATGAAATGCCTCGCACGTATGCGCCGCTATATGGCTTTCCGTTTGGGAAGAGCATTTGCACGAGTCTGTCTTGGCAGCGGGCACAACATGATTCGAAAAGGGTCGGCCGAAACTGATGGGTCATTCCTTTTGAATGAAAAACGACAGTCATTATGATGCAAGACATCCTTTTTGAGAGATTATCTGAAGCTGAAGAGGTTTGCATGCCTTGCGAGCTCGAGAGTATACCAGGGGCCTTTTGAGTAATCTTGCTCGCATTCTGGTATCAGTTGCTGATGTGTGTGAATATTGGATTGTGTCGTGACTAATGACTTGTCACACACAGACATGCGGACACGCCCCAACCCTTTTGAGGATATCATACGCTTTTTTTTTCATGTGGTCTCGCTACAGCTCAGCCATGTAACTGCATAAACAAACACGGTGTCACAAGCCAAATTGAAAAAAACGAATCCACAGCATTGCCACAGAATTCAGTGACAAAGCCAAAATAAAGGTGGTGTCCAGTGGGAAATTTAGGAACAAAGAGATGCTGTCAATGGATTTGCTGGGACGTGAACCCATCTGAGAAATATAGAATGAAATCATAAAAATAGGGCATCAGAAAGAACGTTTGAGAGCAACTTCAACTGCAATTCATTTTGACAATATTGGATCCCTCAAGGGTCAATCCTTGGACCCCTTCTGTTCAGCCAGTCCATGTGACCTTTGGGGCAAATGCTCAGAACGCTAATGTTGGCAATCACAGTCATGCAGATGACAGACATATACAGTATATTTATCAATGCCCCAGAATGACATGAGTTCAGTTAACGTATTGTGCTACTGTCTCAAGAAGATTAACAACTGGATGCGCCAAAATGTCCTTGAGCTGATCCTGAACAAAACTGAGGTCATTATTTTCAGCATTAAAGAAAAGAGGATTGCTGTCAGAAAACACCTGAAGTCACTGTCTTTAGAAAAGAAAGACCAAGTCAGAAATCTTCTGCTGGTGAGAGACTCTGACCTGACTGCGAGCAATCACATCAAAGCAATCATCAACAACATATCCAGAATAAAGCGTTGGTTGGATGCAGGCTGGGAGAAACTTAGCCATGCTTTTATCTCTTGTCCAATTGATTCTTGTGACGGTCTTCTGACTGGACTCCCTCAAAAGAGCATCAAACAGCTGCAGCTCATTCAGAACGCTGTTGCTCGGGCTCTGTCCATGAGATGATATTCACATTTCTAACTCGAATCATCAGTCTTTCGGCATTTGTTTTTTTCTTTTGGGATGTCAACTTCAGGAATTTAAATCAGGCAATGATACTCTAGAGAGAAAATACACGTCTCACATGTAGGTTATTACAACATACAGTTAAGCTCCAATTTATTCCTATCCTGGTAAAGAATGGACAAAATAGACATGCCCACAAGTATTCGTAGCCTCTATCAATAAAGACAAATTCTATTCTGTAGATCAATAGTTGAATAGGATTGTACTCGTAATTATGTTTGTGAATGTTTGTGAAGATTGTGAATCCGCAAAACGATGAGAGAATTCTGTTTCCGCATGAAATGCCAGATCTGAAAGGTCATTACATTTTCGTGCACAGATCCACCGTTCCAAAGCTTTCGTCCAAATGCACCGTACATTTGAAACATATGCGATCTCCTGCGGAAATGATATTTACCTTTCCAGTGGTGGATGAGTCGCACATGGCCGTGGTGTATTGCCTGTCCAGCTCGGGAGCATTGTCATTCAGGTCTAACGTCTCGATAGCAACCAGAACCCGAGACACCTGGCTGGGGTTGTCTGAAAAAGCAATTAAGAGACAGATTGTTTACAACACAAAGTCCACACAAACGGCTCCAAATATAAAATTCCATGAAGAAAATTCCCCGATGCAGTAAACATGCCCGTGAATGCACACAAAGGTGCAATGCGCGCTCCATTAAATCGGCTCAATTGTACTTGTGGGTAAACTCCAGCATTTTGGTGTTAATCCAAACCTTCGCACTCAGATCCCATTAGTGAGTTTGCTGAATATAAAGTCTGATTTGGCTGCTGCTGCAGCTCTCACCTCCTCAGCTGGAAAATAACCGATGTTTCCACTGCGCCAGACACACATAAAATTGCTCCGTTCTGAGGTACAACAGCCCGAAGAGCGCCTATGTGTCTGTGTGAGAGTGAGAATGGGGAGAACAATCAATCTGCATGGAGTTACGCAAGAGATGTCGTTCAAATGGATTAGCGGACTTCCGTCGCTCATTCACTTGGATTGACACGCTTGAATGGGCTCTCACGGCCACGCTTAAAATATGTGGGGTCCCATTCTGAGCTAGACATCACACTGCCTCATTTTAGGCTGTGGTTGTGACACAATTCGGGCACGCGTGCACACACACACGCACACGCACGCACAGTACGACTGCTTCCCATTCCCGAAAACAGCTTTTATTGTACCGTCATGCCATAGGAGTGAACGGTGCGCCCGTGGCCATCATGAGACCTGCTGCGCACAACGTCAACAACGTCTCTGGCAGTTTGTTTATTAGATGGGGCTCATTACCGCAGACAGACACTCGCTGGGCTACTCTGTCAACACAACACCGCTCCCACAACAAGTCCGGAGTACCTTTCGAGGCAAACCATGGACTTTATCCATGGCGAGACGGTATTGGAACATCATCGAGGGAAATTGTTGTGGAAATGAGGTATTTTGCATGAATGTAAATGTTGAGTTCTGCAAACCTTATGCAAGAGGGATGATGGTTGGCAAGACGCACAATTAACAAGCGATGCTCAAAAACGTCTGCATGCTCGAGAGTTTCTGCTTCTTTTAGATGGTTGTTTGTCAATGTTGCCATTCTTCGTGAAGGGCAAGTGGATACAGTTCATTTAGGAGGTGACGCTATACTGCCCTGTGATTTGAATAAGCTCTACTCTTTCTTTCCTTCCATTGCTTTGCTTTTCCCTTTTCAGCTTGAATCCTGGCTCATCGTAACTCCAAATGCACAGTATACTGATGGAACAAAATATGAACCCAAGTCTTCCGACTGGTTTGCAAATTCTAAGCGGCTTAGTAAAAAGCCACAAGGGAGACTGTGCCTTTTGGTCACCATGTAATTATGACCAAAAACTAAACACACTGATGAACGGGTAAAAGGGTCCATGGTGGTAAAACGAGGGAACACATGATGTATCCCTGTGAAGTGACATGTAAAGAATGACTTCTAACCTCTCTGGGTGGCAATGACAGTAATGTTGTGCCAGTGCTCACGTTCCCGGTCTAATTCCATGGCTGTCGTGATGAGGCCAGAGTCTGGGGTGATGCGAAAAAGAGCCTCTGGGTCTGACTGAGGATCAATGGAGAACCTGGAGAAAGGCAAGTGAGAAAAATAGTCAGAGAGAGAGGAGAGGGAAAGTGAGGTACCAAAAAAAGAGGGGGGTGGGGGTGGACATAGAGAGGTAAAGTACAATAAAATAGTTACGCTGTAAAGTAAGGTACCAAAAAAAGAGGAGGGGGGGTGGGCATAGAGAGGTAAAGTACAATAAAATAGTTACGCTGAAGGGAAGAGAAAAAAGCAGCGCGCGTGCGGCAGAAGAAAACAGGCCGCCAATGTGCGAGGGAGCGATAAGAGAAAGTCTGCGTTCAAATGGCCAAAGCATTAATACAGGGAGATTCTCAAAGATGATAGCGAGTCTTTTGAAGTGCTACAGATCATTTGAATATCTCTTTTGAAACATCAACTATCATTCCTCCCACACAATCGCTATTAGCACTTTTGCCGATGATAATTGGGACATCATTCAGTTTTGTTGCCGACAAATTACCGCCTTAGCGTCCTCAAAACCATCGGAATAACCTTTTGCAACAAAAGAAGCTGAGTATCCGTGCAAGCTTCCGTGGTTGCTTTCTGGCTCTGGGGAACGGCGAGTGGGCTTTCGGTTAGCTTAAATAATTTGTTTAGCGGTAAACGTTGCTAAGCTTCTATCCGAGGAGCTGAATATCCCCGATTTACAAATGGATCTGTGAATAAATTCTTCCTCTGAGACCTAAAAAAGTACAGTAGTGCCGCTATAGTGTGAGAAAATATTTAAATGAGGAGTTTGATGGAACGATAGGACTTTGAACTGTCAAATAAAGCCCATGAAAAAGTCTGAACAAAGCTCTATTTAAGCATTGCCTTGCGTGTGTCAAACAAAAGCATTGTCAATAAAGAGATGGAGATACTTTTCCTTTTATTTTGAGCTTGTGTCAGTTATACCTGATGTTATTCGTCAGACCGGTATCTGGGTCCACAGCACTGACTCGGCCCACGGTGCAGGCTGGGGGGCAGTTTTCGGAAACGTCCATGTGGTATCGTGCCCTGGAGAACCTCGGAGGTTCGTCTGCATCCAGCACCGCTACTCTGATGGAAGCGCGGTCTTTAATCGATCCTCGACGCAAGAAGCGAGGGTCCACGGTGGGATTCAGAACCTCCACAGAGAAAGAGTAGGAACTGCGGCTTTCATAGTCTACGGCCTGGAGAGAGAACGAGTACGGTTACAGTGGCTGGATGACATGTTAGGCATCGCAGAGTAGAACCACTTTCGCTTTGGATGGACATATTGCAGTGTGGACTCTGTAACACTTTTAAGAGCAGCGCTATGCAAATTAGGTTGGTTTTTTTTTCCCCCTTTACACGCTATTTTCGGCCTCCAAATACTGCAAGAGTCTGTTTGCATATCAAAAGCAGAAAGATGGAAAATAAGAATTGCAGCGGTCGAAAGGGAATTTTAATCAGAGGTTGCTTTTGACGTTGATTTAAACAACGTCTTTACTTCTGGCACATCAGGTTTTTGAGTATGTTTTCTTTTTTGTTGTTGTTGTTTTGAGGCTTGACCACAAAAGCCTGCGCAATACAAATTTTGCCCTGAAATGTAATTTACAGCTAATGTTGTTTCAGAAAAAAAATAAATAAATCCACCCAAAACTGAACCTAACCCTAATTCATAAATATTACTCAATATATCATTAGAATACACACTAAATTATTGTTATTATTATTATTATTAAAAAAATGAGTATGCAAGACAAAAAAATACTGGCAGATTCGAAATCAGTGCAAAAAAAATACATATACTTTTGAAAAGTCAACTTGCATCTATGAAAATGTGTTGACCAGTGCCAGTGTGAGAGAAAATAAGAGGTGAGGAGCTGCTGTCAAAGAACATTAAAAGAAGCAAAAGAAGAGTTAAACATCATCATCGCGCACGATACTTTGAAATGTGATTTTATCATCGGTTGACTGTTTATACAGACAGTACATCACTATGCCAACTCCAAGCAGACACCTGCTTGGAGCCTCACTATGATTGAATTGAAAGTCTTTCGTGTCATAGCAAAAACAGGTCGTCGAGATTGCGTTTTGGAACGAAACCCACTCACATCCTGCTTGCTTGTTACCAGACTTGTTTTGGGGCCTATTTGCCTGCGGTGGCCATGTGATTAGGGGCCTTATATGTAAAGCAAGATCTCGAAAGCTATGATCATCTCGGCAGGGCAGCTTGTTACAAAGTGGACCAACAGACACACATACAGGATCATTTTTGAGTGTACAAAATATTCGCGAGCGCGGCTGTGTTTATGAGCTGCTCCGAGGGCTCCTTTTCATTGCACGTGGCTTTAGATCTTCTGTCACTATGCTTGTTCTTAAAGTATTTCTGTAAGCATGTATCATTCATTGATGAGTGGCACAGAAAAAGAAGCGGGGAGCGGATAAATAGGATCTCAGGCTTCGCGGAATATTTGCTGTCAGTTTCTGGTAGAAAAAAAAAATCATTGTGAGGGTTCAGGCTTCACTGGGAATATTGATATCCCACTTCCTCTTCTCTTTATTTCTGATCCCTCATTTTCTATTCCACCACATCCCCTTCTCCGTGGGCTGTAAACCTCAGCAAAGTGCTTCAGAGGAAGTCGGCAGTTTCAGCAAGAAAAAGAAAAATGTTACATTGGAAACGAGAAAGCAAAGTAATTGCTGGGATACCCGCAGAGGGGGTGGTTAAATAAATAAATAAATAAAACAAACGTGTTGGGAAACGCACCAACAAAATGTTTGGTGAGAGAGGCAAAGACAAAGAGACAGTGGGCGTGCGTGTGTGTTGTGGCGCAGATGGAAAAAAAGTTCTCTTTACGTGAGTCCTATTAATGGGAAGAACTTGAAAATCAGTCTGGGGAGGAGAGGTGTCACTTGCTCTGTGAGTATACACTCATCACTCTCGCCCTCCTTTTTTCATCGGGCACACCATCATGCCAATCTGCCTCCCCCATCTCTTCCTGACACGCTCCATCACCCGCCCAGCGATGCCCGCCCATCTCGTTTTTTTCCTAATGTGTCGGTGATAGGGGGCAAGCTCGAACAAACCTCCTCGCACACTAAAAAGCTTCAGCCCTCATTCGTCCTAAAAGGAAACACTTATCACCCACAAGCTCAAGTGCACCATGTTTTGCTCCCCGCATCAATTATTTGCCTCGCGTCCATTAATATTTTTATGCACTGACACGTTCCGCCGCTTCACATTTTTAGATTCCTCTGCCTCCAACCACATTTTCTCTCACCTTGGCCGTCAATTCCACATTTTAGGCCTTGGTCATTCTTCAGGTTTGTCCTGATATTGTCAGCAAGATGATCATTTTATTGGAGCCGCAATGAGTAGGCCTACTGGTGAATGGTTGTTTGTGTGGGTGGTGGGCACCACAAACAGAAAGCAGAGTTAAATGTGAGTTAAATTTCCCCATGAGCGAGTTTAATGATTTAATGAATATGAAAAAATATACTGTCTTGCTTCACAACTATATTAAGTAGAATTCATGACAGGTTGTTGTAAAAGAACACATGGGCGGGTCCATGTCATTGTTAAAATGATGTGCCATGCGGGCCTGATCAGTACTTTTTCGAACCTCTGGATTTAGACGCTTTTTATTAATGCGGACCCTCCACTGCATATAAATTTGCGAACGAAGGCCGCCCTATCAAATAGGTGTTATTCACAGAGGCGGACAAAGCGGGTGTTTTTCCGCCCCAAACCAGGTCATTACAGATGTACCTTCTCAGTCCATCACTCCCGTTTTGCTGACGACGGACTGAAACATGAATATACACCGCGGGGTTACTTCGAGCAGACTGCATTGATTATGGGCTCATCTCATTGCACGTTCCTAAGGCCTCGCTCCTCTCTTTACATGCTAGCACCTGCCACCAGAAATTCCGTCGAGGAAGTGAGGAGATGACAAAGATGTGAGGGGGGAGGAGGTAGACATGTTTTGGGGTTACTTACCTGATGAGCCAATGAGAGCGGGTGGTCACCACATCAATACAGGCGGGACCGCGGCTCAAGTGTTATGTCAACAACGGGTTTCTTAGGGTTTTACTTTTAGAACAAGTATACAGGGAAGGTAAGGGGAAATTTATCCAAGAAAAGGCATCCATTTTGGTGAGAAAATACAGTGGCATAAAAGTTGGTATGAAAAAAAAAAAAAAAAGAAACAATTTATTACATTACAAAACCATCATTACTTAAAATGTATTCAATTGTTCATTTAAAAAAGATGCATAAAATCCAGCATCTTCAATGAGGAGAAATATTATTTGGAGCTTTTAAAGAACAGCGAATGGAAAATAAATTATTGATGTTTAGAACCCACACAATATAAATGTATTCATCCAAAAACGGACACGCGCACGCATAAATATGCAAACACACACGCACACGTTTTTTTTCTTCTTTCTATTATGCACTAATTTCATGGTCCTTTTTACAATTCATTTGAGTGGGTGTGGAGAGAAAGGATTAACATTCATAATAGTGGCCATTATGAAATGCATTAGCGCATCTGCCTCACATCAGGCGAATCGAGCCACTCTGTGACTGACCGGCCAACAGACCGCGGCGTAACCCGCCACTCGCTTGACATCAACTGTGTAAGGCTACAATTACGCCCGAACTTAATGTAAAACAAGTGGGATGGAAAAAATGGATTGATCAGCGTTTATTACGGCGGAAGGTCCGTCACTGACGGTCTCCTGTTTCGTTGGCGGACTGGCGACCCACGAAAACTTTGAAACACTGACAGAATAAGCGCAGACGGAAGCGATTTTCAGGCAATCACCCGAACTGTCACTCACCAAAAAAGCAAAGACGGCCTTTGGCAAGGATCACAATCTACTGTTTGCTAAAGACTTCATGAGAAAAGAGCACAGGGTACATCAGAGGATGCAAATAGTTGACATGTATTAGCCAGGAAAACAGAAACGTACCAAGAAGTATCGAGACGAGCATCCCAAATGATTGTATTGGAGAATGTTTTGTGGTCTGATGAGCCAAAGATGAACCTTGACCAAAGTAGAAAAAAAAAGGCTACAGCTTCGAGAACTACATGATTTGTTCATGAATTCAAGCATCATCTGTGATGAACACGATGGCATTAAAAAAAAAAAATCAACACAGACACACTTTGTCTGATGATCAAGAGCGATGCAAACAAACTGATCCGGGGATCCGCATGAGGATAATGATGACAGAAAACAATAAAAGGGTTCGAGAATCGTTCAGTAAATCTAAAGACGCAAACCCTATAAAGGAATGCATCTGACCATCGGTCGGGAAGGCCGAAGGTAGTCTTGGTGTTTCTGAAATGTGGATGTCTGGGGATTGATTGCTTTGATATGCTGTGATTAAGAGTAATGTCATTTTTCCCCCCCTCCTAACAATTGGCATTCAGAATCATCTAGTTTGAACATACTGTGTAATTTCCATTTTTAATGCCTCTTATAATTAGGAGAAATTAATTAGCTAACCTACTTGCCGGAGTAATGAAACGTGATGCACGCCTCCCCAAAGAAGCTGACCCGGAGGCAAACATGCTCAGTTTACAGTGTGGGCGCCCATGTGTGCGCGTTTGCGTTTGGCTCACATACAATCGATGCACACGACTTGCCGGGCTCGGTTGGACGTTCTGAGGTGGTTCTCCAGTCTCGCTGTCTGTACTGTAATCGATGATGTGCAAGAGTCGATGATCATTTGAACACAAGGAGAGCATGTGGCTCCTCGTGCTGACCAGGCACAGCTTTACTTCCTGTCCCGCCGTCCTTGGTCTTTTTTTGTTTCGTCCTACCGTACCGTCTAAATCAAAATCGTACGTCGCATTTGTCTGATGACAAGCGCTTTGGACATTTCTGCCAACCAGCATCACTCCAAGAGTTGAGAGAACCAAGCTTCTTCTTAATCTCCCTTTTGACTTTGTTCTCCCGATGCCGTCTTTCCTCTTCGTGTCTTATGTCTCTCCCCGATGTCACTCAAATGCGGCGAGCCTCCCATTTTCAACTTCTGACCAAGACGTCGTTCGCTCTCTTCTTTCCCCTCATCACTTTCTTCCTCTGCGGATGTGAACACAATCTCTCCTGGTGAGAAAACAAACACGGATGATCCTGGGCTCGCCGCCGGCGTGTGACCGAGGATAAGACAGCCGTTTTAAATGTGAGC